CAACTAGCCAATAAAGAAGGATTCCAGCGAGCCCAACAAATCGCTGACAAAAATAAAGAAGAACCGCATCTCCGTGTGGTAATATCTATTCTCGCACTTTGTATAGTGCATAGGCGGGAAGACAAGTGGTCAGGACTAGGCCTAATGCATCGCCCTCAATATTGGCGTCTCAATGATCAGGCAGTTGAAGGTCAACTATGCTCAGTTGATATTCTATGACCTAGTGCTGAAGGTGAATAAGTGCTAGCATGAGAAGGTGGTGCCATACACCTGTTTTCTCAGCGGTATCCTTGCAAAGATCTTCGGCAACAACTACCCCGCTAAAAGTAATGTGCAAATCTATCGGCTTGGGTATTGGATTCTTGAATACAAGTCTATACCAATAGACATTGGCCTCTTTGCTTTAATGATGGAGATTGCCAATAGCTCCTTTACCCTTCCTACTTCTTCTACTTCATCTCTTTCATTGATGGTTATGTCTGGGACAAACCCTCCTCAGTCTATCCCAACCACCACCATTTTATCTTTTAAGAGGATACAGTCTCAAGCCAATCTTGGTCCTTCAATGAAGGCCAAGAAAACCAAAAAGGGGAAACCACATCCCTAGCGGGGACCTGTCAACAGGTCTCAGCTATTGAAGATAGCCTTACCTCCAGGGCATTTTTTACCCATCCTAAGCTCTTAAGTGCTCTATTCAAACACTATCGTACAAGTGGCTACTCTTCAAACCACTTTAGTGACCCAAATATTTGAAAGTGTGAATATCAGTACTGCCATTGCTGAACAACCACACTCTTTCTCAGTCATTCTCTATTCTCCTCCTCCCTTGGTCTCTATCACTCATGTTGATGATCCATTAGTGGTTGTCCCTGTTGGTGGTGAAGCACTCACCACAGGACCTCAGGTCACTCTTCTGAGAGGCCTCAGATACTTGTTGCCTCTCCTCAGAAAGGCACATGTGCAAACATCAATGTTAATCCTTTAGATGACATAGAGTACACCTCAGGTACTCTCTTACCCCACCCTTTCTTTTCTACTAACTTGGAGCTTTCTTATGCTCATGTTTTTTCTTCTTTTATTGGTCCTTCTGGAGCTGAACCTACAGTCATGGAGACTGACATCTATGACATAGTTGAGGATCTAAAACTTCATATGACCATTGTGGCCATCGTCTGTGATAAGATGGACGAGGTCCACAAGGCAATGCCCATGAAAGAAGGCCTTACTCATGGGCTCTCTGCTGTCAAAGTTGAGGTATGTGAAATAAAGGAAATGCTGACAATGGTTCAAAATGAAGTCTGAGCCAACATGGAGGTGGTCGCTGCTCTCGCCAGCAAAGTCGAAGAAGTACATGCTCAGCTCACCAGACATCCTGAGCTGCTTCATCAAATTTTTTAGCTATTGCAGCAACCAGCCCTGGTCCCTGAGTTGCGTTCACAGAATCTGACCGTTAGCACTTGGAACGGGTGGCCGATTTCAACCTCATGCAAGATGAGGCTCTCTTCAACCTAGAGCAAAGCGTTGAAGACATTTCTTTGCATCATGATGATATCACCTCATGTCTTGATAATGACAGAGAGGGGAAGTAAGACAATAGTGAGAAAATTGTTGTGGATAATGCTAATGATGCTGCTGTTGATGAAGCCCTTGCTATTTTCCCTCATGCAGATGTTATCCCTGCTTCTGAGGATGCCATCATAACCTATGAAGTTGAAGTTGATGTTGAAACTGAGGATGATGTCGTGATAGCTCCGGCTACTCATGAAGATCTTCCTTCTACCTCCGCATTTCAAGATGCTGATGATGAAGAAGAAGATGATGAAGAGGACGATAAGGATGAAGAACTTCAGATCCCTGACATTGGACAAGATCTTGGAGATAACGACATTGATGAAAATGACAATGATGACGACTTCACCATCCAGTACCATCCAAGACTGGCTCAGAAAGGTGTCTCTCTAAGGGAACCAGCTTCCCAAGGGGAGAGAACCTCAAGGAACCAACACTCCTTCCCTAAAAACAAAGGAGTGGCTGAAGAAGGTAATCTTGCCATATTTTTCAAGGAAATCGACCGAACAAAAGTAAATCAGTGCTCAAGGTTCATGCCCTTTTCTTCAAAATGTGAACCCTTCTCTCTTTTACTCACTGCACCAACAATCCCTTGTGGTCTTCCAGTTGAAAGGATAGCTGATATTCCAACACCTGGAGCTGCTAACGATCATAGGATGATTTAGCTAAGGAGTCAGCTCGACCAAACTAGAGTAAAAATCCCTCTTCATACCTTTGATTGTAGTGAGTTTGAATTCCTTGTTGATGTTGAACGAGAAGAAGCCCTAAAAGCCGAAGRAAAGCTGAGGATTCAATGTCAACAGATGAAGGACAGTCTAAAGTTGGCCAAGCTCTTGCCAAAGGGAAGCTCAAGAAGAAGGATCCAGTTACAGCTCAGGCCCAGTTGCTATCACAAGCTGAACGAGAACAACAAAGGGCGCTGACGCTGAAAGACCGAGACTTGAAGTGCTGCAATAAAAGGATCAATAAAAAAATAAGTCCCCACAGGATCTCAAACGTCACCATCAGTGGACAGATGAAGGATGGTGGACTCCTCATTTCTATGGTCATCTTCAAAGAGAACCAAGATGTTGTCAGTAAGTACCCTTCTTACCTCGGGCAATACGGCTTCGATGAATGGCTGGAGATTCGACAAACTATTCAGTGATCAAAGTCAAAGCATAAGCCGGTAATTGAAGACATATTGAATGACTTATTCAAGAAGGTGTCCAAGATTGTTGATGTCCCTCCTTTGCTAGAGAAGCCTCTCTCTAGAAGAAAACACCTTTCAGATCTTGAAGATAGACCATCCCACAGGAAAGAACACGAGACTAAATTCTCCTTGGATGAAATCCGGAAGGATTGAAAGAAGTCGGATCTCTCAAAGTTGAACCTGACACTTCCAGCGAAGGGTCCCTACATACCCAACGTTGTGCATGTGAAACCTGAGTTTGGATTAATATTCATTGACTATGATGGTGAATACAGGTTCTAGCGAGCATTTGAGTTCCACCTATGTATGATAGATCATTATCTCAGGACTTGGCTAGATAATGACACTTATGGAGAGGTGATGGAACGCAAGATCAGAAAGGAGATGTTGAGATGCAAGAAGCTCAGAGAAGATATACCTAGTTATATCAACTTCAACGACTTATATTAGATGTTCTTTCTGTCTCGTAAACTTTATTTTCGTTTTTTTACTTTCAATGTATTACCTATATGTAATAGGTCTACCAACATTGACAAAAGACTTGTAATATTTTCCAATGATTAAATATTCAATGAAATCATCAGTTCACTGAAAAAGTTCCCTAAAAAAATAATAGAGACAATTAACTATGAGTTCCAGTACTCTTACATTTACTGACAACTTTGTAGTCACTGAATATGTTTTCAATTTCAGTTACTATTATGTCAGTTTATCCTTGAACTTGTAATCTTTTACAAATTTAAATAAATTTTCATAAGTAAAAAATCACTGAAAAAGATCCCAACACAGTTAAAAGGCAAGTATATTACTAGAACTTTTTTCCTTATGATTTAATTTAAGCAATTTTTTTATGTTGCTTTGTCATCATCAAATAGGGGGAGATTATTGATCCTCTCTATCAATGATTTGATGATGATCCTTTTACCTATCGAACTGTATTATATATGTTACTTAGTTTCAAGTATCTCCAGTGAGTATATTCAGTGGTTGCTGAACATCTATTCTAATTCATGCAGAGACCAATATACTTCAAGAAGATAAAACTCACACCATAGATCATTCAGTGATGTTGAAGACAGAAACTAAAAATTAGAGACCAACAAGTTCTTGATCTGAAGCGGTGTTTAGTGATAACAAGCTCGTCTACAAATGTGTGAAGTATGCACAAGATTCAGCGAACACTAATGAGACCTTTTAGCGTCCTTCCTGATGTAAAATGGATCATCATCAAATCTCTAAGTACGAGGATCAATAATCTAGATTGTCGAAGTTGATGTAGTCAGGGACATCTTTTCCTTGAATATTTCTTCTGAGCATTTCCTTTCAAATCTTGTAGTCCATCATCTCTCCATAAAGATCTTCGTTCAACCAAGTTTGAAGGAATTCTAAGTGAATTATTGGGCAGATATGGAACTCAGACACTCGCTAAAACTTGTACTGGCCATCATAGTCAATGAACATAAGGCCATATTCAGGCTTCACATGCACTGTATTGGGAATAAAGGATCCTTTTTCAACCAGTGATAGATTCAGCATTGAGATATATGGATTCTTTCTATCCTTAAAGAGCTCATCTACTGAGAATTTTGTTTCATGCTTGTTCCTGTGGGATGAACCTTCTTTAGGATTAGAAAGCTTTCTTCTTCGAGAGGACTTCTGTGGCAGAGGAGGAACCTCAATGATCTTCGCCACCTTGTTGATTAGTTCGTTCAAAACTTCTTCAATGTAAGCCGTATGCTTGGATTTGGACTTTTGAATCACCTGTCGAATCTCGAGCCATTCATAGAAACCATACTGACTGAGAAAGGAAGGATACTCAGTGACAACATTGTTGTTCTCTAGGAATATGACCATAGAAAATAGAAGAGCACCATCTTTCATTCGTCTACTGATAGTGACGTTTGAGATTTTGTGAGGGCTCATTCTTTTTCGATAATTTCTCTACACCAATTAAGATCCATATTCTTCAGCGTTATCACCCTTTGTCTTTTCTGTTCAACTTCTTCTAAGATTCAGGCTTGAGCACTGAGAGGATCTTTTTGTGAAAACTTCCCTTTAGCAAGAGCTTGATCAGCTAGATTCTTGGATAACTCCAGACTGTCTTTAAGTTGATGTTGATGTTGCTTCAGCTCTTGTTCAACTTTCAAGGATTGTTCATGTTCAACTTCGTAGAGGAAGTCAAACTCACCGCATCCAGAGGTAGGAAAAGGAATTTGTACTCCAGATTGTTCAAGTTGACTTATAAGCTGGCCATACTCACGTCTTCTTCAACCTCTGAGCATACATGTTGTCTTGATGACTTCCTGGGTATGAGGTTGAAAGCTTCATCTTCATCTTCATCTTCCTCATCCTCATGGGTTTCAAAAGAAGGCTGTCTTGGTATAATTTGAATAGAGAAATCATCATCATTGTTGTCATCATCATCACCACCAAGGTCAGTACCTATGTCTGGGATCTGAGGCTCAAAATCCTCCTCATCATCATCATCTTCCTCCTCTTCACCAGCATTTGTAAATGCAAAGGTGGAAGGAGGAAGGTCTTCATGGTTAGCAATAACCACAACATCATCATCGATGGCATCCTCAGGGGTCTTCTCCCTGACATTCTCTTTAGGGTTCTCCAATGCCATCTCCCCAAGGACTTCTTCGTAGCCTTCTTCCCCTCTTCATCATCATCAATACCATTACCTGAGAAAGGGAGGCGAGAAACGAGGTCTTGCAACTTTTGCTCCATGCAGGCAATGGCTTCAGCCTATTGAAGGTTTAGCTCAACCATATCCAGCTGATGATAATCAGCTACACTTAAGGAGGGTTCATGGACAGGTGCAGGTTGTTGTAGAAGCTGGAAAATCCATTCAAGTAGCTCACCATGCTTGGTGAGCTGAGCCTGAGCATCTTCAGCCTTGCTGAAGAGAGCAGCGACAGCTTCAGAGTTGTGTTGGTTTCCCATCTTCATGAAGTTCCACTGTTCTTTGACTTCACAAACCTCAGTTTGGATAATAGAGAGGCCGTGATCCAGGTACTCCTTCGAGGGCATTCCCTGTTGAACTTCGTCCATCCTGTTAAGGATGGTCGCAACAACAGAGAGAAGCAGCTTGACATCCCCAGCCATATCATATCTCAGTGAGTGGGGGTTCATTCTCTTTAGGACCTGCAGAGAGAGAGGTTCATCAACCATATCTTAAATGCGCTATCGAGAGGATCAACCGCACGTTGCTGAGGGGAGTCGAGAGGAGCATCCTCAGTTCCTTTCATGAAAGCTTCACCAATAGTGGGGACAACCACTATCAGTCATTAGCTCGTGTGATAAAGACCAAAGATGGAGGGTAGGAGATAACGGTTGAGAAGAGATGTGAAGGATCAGTAGTGATTATGATGAGAATCACACATTCATTGATTTGAGTCACTGAAGTGGTTGGGGTAGGTGCCAGGCATACGACAACAACTCAAGATATTGCTGAAAGGTAGGGAGGGGAAAAGCATATGCATCGGGGTAAGGCGAAGTTCAATACTTGAGACCTGTTGAGAGGTCTCACCTAGCTTAGATGACTTCCCCTTTATGGATTTCTTAACCCTCTTTGAGGGATTAAGAGTGGATTCAGATAGTTTTCTCTTTCGGGAGGATAAGAAGGTAGTAGCTTGGATTGACTCAGGGGGGTTTGCCACAGTCATGGCTACTAAAGAAGAAGATGAGCATTGGGTATACTCAACATTTGAGGAAATAGACCAACTTCTGAAGGCTTGGACTTGTGGTTCCAAGCCTGAAAATGGGAAGATCACACTGAAGGGGGTACTTTGTTGCTAGGATTCTGGATAGAATCTCACTCAGGCACTGGTGTAGGGAACCACATTTTCCCTTTGGCGCTTGTTCAGGTTCAGTACCAAGTCATCAAAGCTAAGCTGAGAGTAGTTGATGTTGATATCTCTGGTAACTGAATAGTCGAATGAAGTGAGAGAACATGTAATGCCAAACCATTGACATCCGGTTTGTAACACCCCACGTCTCACATTGCATTTAACAAATAATTCATTCAATGAAATACATGTATTACACCACTTAGGTCCCATAGTACAAGAAACAAAAGTACAAAGTACACAATCCAAAAATTCCAAAATACAAGTTCTTGTAATACATAACATACAACTTCATACCTAAACACATCCATAGGCTGATCTTCACAAAACTATGCACATAAGAGAACAAATTACATTTTCCCTTTTCCTTTACTATCATGGTACTCAGTTGTTCTTGCAATACATATTTGAAAGTCAAAATGAGGGTTAGACCTGAAGGTCTAGTGAGATCCTTTTTTTCCTTGTATTTGTAGGGTGAAGATCACCAAAACATTATTTAAAATCAACTTTTCATATAAACAAAAACATATTCTCATAGATCACCTTGACCAGCGCCTCTCTGGTTCTAAAGACCAAATCTTGAGTTGAGAAGAATTTATTCTATAAAACAGAAGGGTCACAGCCCCTATCGTTCCATTGACTAAAGCTTCTTGTCCTACCAATCCGAGCTCCTCTCAAGTTAACATTCATATATTTACAAAGTCATGTACATAAAATGAATGCAAATATTTTCCAAGTATATAAAGAGTATAAATTAAAACCTTATATATAACCATAGCCTCTGGTCCTTCTAACCTGAACCTCTGGTTCAATTGCAAAGACCAACCAGAGCTCCGCTTGTTTAACTGTGAAGACAAACCAAAGCTCCTCAGGCTCGTCTTGCTTTGCTAAATCCATTTCATATAAATAGTTTTCTAAATTGAAATAAGGGCAAGAAGTTTTATGAAGAATTTGAAATACAACATTTATGACACATAGCCTCTATACAATACATACAGAGCCTCTTGTCCAGATAGGAGTTTGAAAATAAGGACTTTTATCATAAACAGAGACTAACCAGAGCCCCTCAGGTTCTATTAAAAGAACGACCAGAGATCCTTTAGTTCCCTTTCAAAGAACAACCAGAGCCTCTTTGGTTCTTCATATCTTTTACACTATAAGTCAAAAGCATGGTTATCCAAAACCTCTGGCCATAAGCCAAATTTTCCCCTTTTCAATAACATGATTACTATTATTTCCAATAAGAGCAACATTCCTGAGTCTTCAAATCACAAACAAATAAGGACCCAAAACCATTGCAATCTTAAGGGATACAACAGTAAGAGCTATAATAATCACACATACAAATGTCACCCTTATATCCAAAGGTACACGTCTCCTTGATATGCCACCTTTATCCCAAGGTACACCTCTCCTTGATATGCCACCCTTATTTCTTTATTAAAATCTACTGATTATTTTCAATCAAGACAGACTGAAGTCACAACCGTCATGAGGGAACATCATCTATAGTTTTAACCAGTTTTATACCAAAACTTGAAACTCAAGAACTAACAATTCTTTAATATAATTTTCCAAACTTAAAACCCTTTAATCCTTAAAAATAAGATATCATCTTCAACTGTTTAAAGAAGCAAAATCTTCTTTATATTTCAGAAACAGTTTCAAAACCCAGATTCATAAACTCAACTCAACTGCTAAAAACAGTTTCCCCTTTATCTATAAAAATCACCTACTGAAAACCATTTGTTTCAAATATCAACACATAAGAATTTTAATAACAAAACTCACCTTGTATGCACAATTTTGAAGATTAATCACAGAATCTTCAAATCACTTTTATGCTAGTTTTCTCTCTAGAACGCACTCTCACCGCCACTACTCTTTTCTTTTAACCATCAGGTAAAAATAAGATAAGATTGGTCTTATCTGTTATATATATATATATATATATATTATCAAAGGCGGTGAAGTAACTAACATTATTAAACTCATAAAGGCGGTGGAAGTTTTAATATTATAAAAACTTCCCTCTTTCTACTTCTTCCTATTCAAGGTTATGCACATCACATGTAAATATTTTAATATTTCCCATTGTACGCATAATACCATGTACTTTTAATACCTTTCATGTATGCACAGTAACCCATACGCATACATATATTATTTATGCAATTTACTTATGCATATAATCAACCTTATAAATAAATATGCACATTATCACATATTCACATAATAATCACATAAAGATTACCTCAACTGCGGCTGTCTTAAATCCCGGTTATCACATTATCCACCCCTCAAAAGAATTTTGTCCCAGAATTCATTTAATTAAATAGCCATGGGTACCTGGTTCTCATCTCAGATTCTAACTCCCAGGTTGCTTCTAAACCCTTATGAAAACGCCACTGTACTTTTACCAAACTAATTTCTTTGTTCCACAACACCCTGATTTTTCGGTCAATTTTAGCTTCTGGTGTTTCCACAAAATTCATTTTACTATCTAGTTTAACTTCTAGAAGTGGTATTGCTAGACTTCGATCAGCTAGACATTTCTGCAAATTTGACACATGAAAACTATTATGGATTAAACTGAGCTCTTCTGGTAGTTCTAACTGATAACCACTGGCCCAACCCGTTTGCAAATTATAAATGGCCCAATATATCTTGGACTGAGCTTACCTTTCTTTCTAAATCTAATAACACCTTTCAATGGAGAAACCTTTAGCATCACAAAATCACCCACATAGAATTCAATTGGTTTTCGACGTTTATCGGCATAACTTTTCTGGTAGTCCTAAGCTGTTTTAATTCTTTCACGGATTTGTTCAATCTTTTAAGAAGTTACTTGGACAATTTCGGGACCTGTCAACTGTCTCTCACCCATTTTATTCCAACATAACGGCGTTCGACATTTACGTCCATACAAAACCTCATACAGTGCCGCTTTGATGTTGGAGTGATAACTATTATTATATGCAAAGTCTATTAATAGCAAATGATCCTCCCATGATCCCCCAAAGTCAATAACACAAGTTCTTAACATATATTCAAGAGTCTGGATGGTTCTCTCACTTTTCCTGTATGTTTGTGGATGATATGTTGGGCTTAATTGAATTTAAGACCCCAGAACCTTCTAAAAAACTTTCCCATAATTTTGAAGTAAAACAGCTATCTCTGTCAGATATGATGGATAGTGGAACACCGTGTCTGGTAACAATTTCCTTGATATAAATCTGAGCTAAACTTTCTAATGGATAACTTTCCCTTATTGGTAGAAAATGTGCAGATTTAGACAAACGATCCACAATTACCCAGATTGCATTGTATCCTTTTGGAGTTCGGGGTAGTTTCATGATAAAGTCCATCATGATATGATCTCATTACCATACAGAAATCTCCAAGGATTGAAGATTTCCATAGGGTCTCTGGTGTTCAATCTTAACTTGCAGACATGTTATGCATTGTTCCACATACCTTGCTATATCTTTCTTTAATCCGGGCCACCAATAGAAATCTTTTAGATCTTTATACATCTTATTGGTACCTGGATGAATAGAATATCGGGACTTATGACTTTCATTCAAAATAGTTTTCCGTATATTCCCATAGCGTGGTACTCAAATATGTCCTTGAAAGCACATAATTCCTTCCCCATTCGATTCCAAGGTGGAAATCATTTTACCCAATCTTTCTAACTTCATATGATCCTATTTAACACCTTCCTTTTGAAATTTAAAAATTTCTTTATGAAGATCAGGAGTTAAGTTCATTC